GCATCAAGACAAAAATGCTTTTCTGTAGACTAGCTTTATATCTCCTGTGTGTTCTACCTAAAAAACAAATTCTGGGGATGCAACAGATCTTTGAAAAGGACTGTATAGCCTAGTGGGGCTGTGCAAGCCCTAACCATCTATTACCTTCAGACATTAAAAACAGTGAAACATGACAAAAACCAAGCTGCTCACTAGGCAGGATGATGAAGCCTCATTTCTTCTGAATTTGTTCTCCATATTTCATACTGCAGTAGCTGCTTTCTTTGCATGCATCCCCGTGCTCCATGGAGCATCCTTTGTCCCCCATGAGTCCTGACAGCACCTGAAGCTTCTTCCAAGGTCACCTACTAATAGATTGCATTAGCATTAGAAGTATGTTCTAAATAACAAGGGCAACACTGTTCTTATTGTAAAATGACTAATGGTGGCAAAATAAAATGCCCTTCTATAAGGGTGGCTGGAAAAAGTAACAGCTAGATGCAGTTTTCAAAAGAGCTGATGTAGGGAAGGGAGAAGGCAGGAAAGACTTTGAGTCAGGAAGGTACATTCAACTTGCAGGGGATTTCTAAAAGGGGGAAAATTCCTGAAGCAGCAAGGAAATGCAGAGGAGGACAAATTTCACAAAGGCAGGCTGCAAGAAGGCTCTGGAGAGCATATTGAACACACAGGTTAGCAGTGGAAGTCACTTTTTTTTTCCCCAATGGGCCATCAGAGTCACTGTTCTCAAATGGGATAGGCACAGGTGGGTGACGAAGACTGCAGGAGTCTGAATGAGCCCAGAGTTTATTTAAAAACAAATACGCAACAGGAACCTTTATTAAATTTCCCATAATTATTTCTAAATATATAAGTCTTTTAAACATACTACTGCATTACCATTCAACAAGACATTAACCCGAACTTACGAGTTCATACCTGTTAGCTGAAGCTATTTAGTCTGGAAACTCAGCTATAATTATTACACAAAAGCTCTTTCTCTAGGTCTCTTGCAGTTTTCTGATCCAACTGGCCGAAAGCCACCATGAGACCAAAGCTTCTTAGAGCATTTTCCTATGTCCTTTTTTTATTAACTTTTCTTGACAAAAATGAACTAAAATTCTGAATGGAAACAGGGCTTGTGTCCCTCTGTACTTAAAAAAAACAAAAGAGACCAGGCTGTTCCTCAAATTTATGTCTGAAATAGTATATGCCATTGCTCCATCGCAGCTGATTTGCCTACTCCTACTACAACTCTTTTCTTAAAGGCAATAAACACTTTCAATGCAAATATTTTCTTCTAGAGCTGTAATTTACTCCCATATATATTGCCTGTTTAAAATAAGGGAGTACTGAAAACAGCTTTTCACCTCACTACAACTTTTAACATTACTGCAAACATAACCCAAAAACTAATGATTGCTTCTCAGGTAATAATTTTTCTCTAGAAAACAATCGTCTGGGACATATATATTCAATAAACCAGGATAGTCATTGAGAAATAGGTTTTATAAATTACCAGCTAAGTCTTACAGGCCAAAACGCTATTAAATATGTCACAATAAGCATAGCACAAGAATGAGATCTGGTCAAGCTGTGGCTGAATATAATTTCCATGCACAGCCTACGGACTGTGGACTTTATTTTTTTTCTATATAAAATTTAGTATTTTTTTCACTACATTTTTTAAAGATCATATTGCTCAGAAGAATAGGGAGATTTGTAACACACTTATCAACACAGAGTGCTCCAGGGGAATTTTTTAATTATTTCCCCCACCCCCCCCCCAATAATTTTCATAGTTATTCAGCAGCTGTGGTAATTTGAAAATTTCATCCAGTTCCTATTAATAAATTATTGTCACTATATATTATAGACCTAAAGATAAACCAACACTTTACAACATGTTTCTCAGGCCTTTTGACAGCTTTAAATGTTTCTGGAATAAACTTAAATTTGTCAAATGACAGTACTGTGAGAACCAAAAGTTCTTTGCACAGCAAGAGTGCTCAGGGATTACAGCTTTGTAACCTAGCAGGACCCTGAAACCTGGCATCAGCTTTCAAAGCCACGTTCATCAGCACCTTTGATCTTGCTATTAGTGATATGAATAGAAGCATAGCACACCCCCAAACCAACAAGAACAGATCAGATTTACTTATTTGTATTGAAGCAGAGCAAATCACCAAATACAACTATTTCCAACAGCATCAGGCACACCACAACTGCGCAAACAGCAGCTCCTTGACTCTACTTCAAGGCTAGCACTTTTGACACCAAGCCTATGTAGAGAAAAATACAGCTCTGAGGTTTCTTTCCCCTCTATGACGTTTCAGCCATATAGCTATAGATATAATACATAGGCATTCACCTGGTGCAGGTGACAATCTGAAGTTCAGAAAGTTACCTATAGGCACCTTGGCACCCACTGGTAACTGCGTTATGATTTGCTCTTTCTACTTGATCATGATGATGCAAGCATAACACATTTACAGCCTGGGTTCATCTGACCAATTTTAGGCTTCTAAGTGCTTCCGAGGTGCAATTCATCCCAGGAGAGAGATCAGGCAAGCTATATCCAACACCTTTCAGCTATAACAGAGGTCAAGTGTGCTTAGCTGAGACACAGACACCTGTGTTGTCAATGGTTTCAGTTAGTTAGGGATTCAACAGGTATCCCAAGTCATCTAATTTGTCTCTAGCTGCATGTCTCGAAATAAAAAAAAAAAGTACAACAGGGAAATTATATTAATAAATCCCAAAGCAAGGCAATGCATTTGTGAAGTACCATGAGATTGATGTGAGCAGACTGGAAATCTCAACTTCAAGGCTTGTAATTTACAAGACAACCAGATTCTTCAGATGTTTCTGTTCCCTTGAAGGAGAAGCCATGTCTGTGATTGCACCAAAAAAAAGCTTTAGATGTCCAGCTGTTTTACACTCCTCATTAAAATTCACCCAGCTACCACACATTCCAAAGCAGAGGAACAGACACACATTTACTAAGACATATTTACACTAATCTGACCCAAACCAGTGCTACTTCTCCAGGATCAAATTCCAGCCCAACAGTGAGCAGCCAGACTGAGTTAAACTTACAGCATAAAGTGCTGCCAAGAGTCTTGTTCTGAGGACTCAAAGATAATTTAAGAATCATGCTGCTTTTCTGCCGGAAGCACAAGTCTACTCCTTGAGATTTATTCTCCCATTTAACAGGTAAGAGCCATATGGCCTACCACACTCGGCTTCATAAGAAGGACATTTTACAGATATGCTGTAAACATGGTTGGGACAAGCACTTTCTGAAATTGTGTGGACCAATTCTCAACATCTACTTGTCAAGCAGGGCCAGATGGCTGAAGGCATTTAAGCATTGCAGGGCCTAAACAAGTAAGGAGCTAGCATCACACTACTCACTGAGCCATTTCTTTCTCATAGCACTCTCCCCCAAAGTAAAAAATCATAAGTTCCTAAATGACCTTGGATGCAGAATACTGGACAGGGAGCCCCAGCCCAACACTGAAAAGCTTAGCTGCTGAAATAACTTGTCGAAGGTGCATCGTTGCAGCTTCCACACCAAACTAAAGCTCCTGCCTTTTCTGCGTTCCCTGGGACAATTGTTGCACAGAGGAGGGTACACAGAAGGATCAGATAAGACACATCACTGAGAGACTTCCATATATCTTACTCTGCTGTGTGGGTGTAGCCTCAGGATCACAAAGGTAGGACTCCAACTCCTTCAACAGCCTTGTGATACAAAATGGAAAGGGTAGTCACAGCCTTTAAAAAAGCTCGACTTCATTGCCTCAAACCCTGCAACAAAATTGTTTGCCATCTGCCTAATTAAGTTGACCATTTGTCCCTATTAGAAGCAGCTGTGCTACTTAAAGCAATTAAGGTGGCACAGGACAGAAGTGACATTTTTGGTTTGGGATGACAGTGTTTGCAGCGCTGACAGCATTGAAGCATTTATGGTTATGAAGAGGTGACATTATTAAGTAAGTAATGAAAAAAACAGAGAGGAGCCCTTTCAGAAGTTCAAAATAAATAAATGTGTTTTGTAAAAGACATCCTATATTCTTACTGAGATTTGCACTGAATAAAAGACTTGTGTCTCTAACAATGCAAAGCTTTCATTGTCACTGGCTGTGGTTTTACAGCATACGTGTTTTGATACAGGACATCTGTGAGCTAGCACCAGTAATAAATCTGAATGCTAGCACAGATAATTTTCCAAGTTTTAGGTCAAATGCTATCAAATTTAACTTATCAGCTCATTAAGATAAAACAATCCCTTTTGTCATTAGTTTTCTGATTAGTTGCCTGATTCTAGAACCTAGGATGCAGCACATAGGTTCTTTTTTTTTCTCTTGTAGCATAAAGTGAATGCTTAATGCCCACTGGTTATCCTTATAAATCACACACAGGGAAATCACTGCTTGAGCCCTTGCTAGAAGCGAGAAATGTGATGATTTCAGCATGTTTCAAAGAGGCATTCCTAAAATAACTAACTGTTTGGTAATTTTATCACAGTATAAGGCCTGAGCTTAGTGGTTAGATTCCCTCATATGCAACTGTAGTGGTTTTGATCTTGTGAGACTTCAAGCTACGCAGTGACAGGCTGCTGGGATACTTTGAGAGTCGTGGTATTTATGTTTAATATAGGCAGCTTTCGCTGTGAGCAAACGTGGAAACTGGACTGCAGCCTTGCAGACCTCTTTGCTGCAGGAAACTCTGTCCTTTTGTTGGGTGCAGAATGCAGTGCCTGCAGGCACAGCCTCTCGCAGCTCCAAGGTATGGTTATGAGCTGTCCCATACGGGGAGAGGTAAAAGAGTCACTGTTGTAGAAAGGAGGACTTGAGTGTGCTCCAGAATGGCTGGGAGAGCTCCAACAAATAAAATTTAGTAAAGCTGTATGTCACATCTCAGGTTTTGTGCTGGGGTAGCTGTAAGGAAGACACACACACACACACAAAAACGTCACCTTCTTTTTATATGTTTTACAAAATGTGTTCTTATTTTAGAGTCTACATATCGTCACCAAGCTACCATTGATGATGAAGTGGTTTCCATGGAGATACTAGATACAGCTGGTCAGGTACGTGGGTACACGTAGCATTACCCAATATCTTGGCTCGGATAGAGAACAGAGAAGGGGAGTGCAGTGGTGGCAGCGGTGCGGAGGTTGGCAGGTGTGCTCCGCTTCTGGGGACAGATTTCCTCCAGAGCAGAGCAGCCATTCCACCATCAGCTTGCTGCTGGTGGTTCCAGACCATTCTGCAAGGGACCCTGCTAAAACTTTTCAAGCACTAGAAGAACAAACAAGTCAGAGTTTACCAAGGCATTAAAATTACTTTGTTCTCATCCCTTGATTTGGGGTCAACCCAACAACATGCTGTTATTATTATTCACAAAGTCACAGTCAAGTGACGAGACTTGACAGCCTCAGTCAAGAATTCCCACCAAAGCGAAAAGCAGTTTTTTGATAGTTAGGTCTCCCTTCTTTCCAAGACATGGCAGATGCTCACACTGCACAGTCCTATGCAGTTTGCATGCCGAATATCATTCAACAGAGACCAACGTTGCCTGCTACCAGCTTGTCCACAGGCAGCCCATGGCACCTTGGTGGGGAAGATCTCCTGTGCTACACGATAAAAAAGGTGATGTGTCTAAAGTATAAAGCAGATGAATATGGCTTTACAGGCTTTGGAGGACCAATGTCTATCTGAAGGCCTGGTGCCTTCTTGATAAATCATATTCCTAAGGCTGTTGTCTGTCTTTTTAAAACAGGAGGATGCTATTCAGAAAGAAGGACATGTGCGATGGGGTGAAGGCTTTGTGCTGGTTTACGACATCACGGACAGAGGCAGCTTTGAGGAAGTGCTGCCACTGAAGAACTTGTTGGATGAAGTTAAAAAACCCAAAAATGTCACCCTAATCCTGGTGGGAAACAAAGCAGACTTGGATCATTCCAGGCAGGTCAGCACAGAGGAAGGTGAAAAGCTGGCCACAGAACTAGCATGTGCTTTTTATGAGTGCTCTGCTTGCACAGGAGAGGGCAACATTATGGAAGCCTTCTATGAGCTCTGTCGTGAGGTGCGGCGTCGAAAGATGGTCCAGGGCAAGACTCGGAGACGAAGCTCCACCACCCATGTCAAACAGGCCATTAATAAGATGCTTACCAAAATCAGCAGCTAGAAAGAGCTGTACTAAGCTAGAGAAGCATTTTAGAGCACCCTTACTCCTTGGATCTTGGGAGTAAGGGTGAGGCAGACAGAGCACATTTAATTAAAAATGGTCAAAGCTTTGCAATTAAAAAAATAGAAAAGACAAACCACACCACTTTTTTGAGTAACACAGGCTCAGACTTTTTTCCTGTTTCAAAATGTATTTAGCCACACTGCTTCTGACTGACATGGAAAAAGGAAAAAAAAGTGATCTTCAAAGGACTAGATCGTTGTGGGGATTGGCACTGACAGAGCATCTGCTTCTACAAGACTGGCCCCAATCCTCTGCAAGTCAGTAGTGCCTAAACATCATTTCCAGCCCGCCAGCTGCTCAGTAGCCATTGGAGAGTAAGATTCGGCCTTCAGTCCATCAACAGCCATCACAACAGGTGTTCTAAAGGACTGAAGACAGATAGAGGCTGCTCTGTTGTACCAGAAAGTTCATCTGACACCTTTCACCAGCTCTAAATTGGTGCATTGTGTGCTTTTACTCCAAACTGTCCTTCCTTGTTGTTATTTTTGTCAAATCTATGAGTGATGATGTTCTTAGCAAGTTATGCAGAAAAAAAATTATAGGAAAAGTCTATTTCATGGAGTGTTTAGCCAGCAAGACAAACATTTCAGCAGAGCTGAAGTTCAGCTGCTTTTCCAGATCCTCTGAAACTGCAGATTTCATCAAGAAATAATCACCTAGTCCAGTGGCATTTCAGCATTTCCCCTTCAAAGTAGGGTACTGTACTTGGGGAAATGAGAATGTATGTGTTGGGAAATAAAAAAAAAAACCCAACCATATTACTATTGATGTAGTTATGAGTAGTTTTTAGCTTTTGTTTACATTTTTGTTTTGGTCTTATTTCAATTCAAGTAGTTCCTCTTACACCAAAGAAGAACTGAATTCATGGGAAGGCAAGTATTTAAAGTCTAAGCCCTAATGTTAATCAGACATGAAAGGCCTCTACCATATCAAAAGGCCATAATTTCCAGCTGTTTAACTTCTGTATGTTGCTTGAAGCACTCTGGTTTAAACCAGCACAGTTTTTTTGTGACTCTTATCTGGCACATGGAAATGAAAGTGCATTTTGTCAGATTCTGGTGCCTGGGATAAAAGGCAACTGGTTTTTTTCTTTTCCTCCCTCATGAGTCTCATTTAAGCCAGCTGTTGAGTTTTGCCTCCTGTCTACTTGTTTGTTAACTGTATGGTAAGAGATGTAAGAACAAAGACTGAAAGATTGTGCTGGTCTCCCACCAGTTGTGTTGCATCTCTTTAAGCAGCGTGGTGTGCAGCTAGACAGGCAGCATGTACCACCACAGCCAAAGGTTGGGATGATAAATGGGAGTATTAGCAGTACTCTCCTTTGAGGAACAGCTCCTTGTAGCAACTCTTTACAACTTTATTCTCCACATTACCTTATATGGTTATTTGCCTCTGAGAGGAAGTAACACCAAAAAGGCTATCAAATGCAAATTGCCACAAATGCAGGACAGTGAGGGTATCTGGTTAGACAGCACATCATAGTTATAGGTAGGTGGTGGAACAGGATGGAGAATCAAGCCTGTATATCCCTGTCAACAGAAGAAATTCCCAAGTCAGGACTTTTTTTTAAAAAAAAAGATTGGCTTAAAGATACTTTACCAAAATATTTTTTTTAAAAAAAATTCTCTTTTACCCAACCAGCATCAAAGAACATCACATTCAAATGTATATTTTATTTGTGCTGTTGTTTGCTTTCTCTCTTTCCTCTGTTTTAGCAAGTAAAAACTCATTTCATTATTCTGAAGTCAATGTCTATATTTTGGTTCTCATATTCAGGTATGTTGCCATACATAAGCTAGACATGCTGCAGCAGAAACTTCACCATGTGCTTCAGGGCAGGGGATTCTTGCAACAGGTGATTACACTATGCTTTGGCACAAACTATTTGTCATATCTCTGACTTCTGTTTTTTAAAAAAAAAAAAGAGGATTTGCCATTTTTAGTCCTATTACTAATACAGAATCGATACAAGTTTAAAAGGAGCTAGTGCCTGTTCATGCACCAGCAGTCATTAGCTGAAGGTCTGAACTTGCAAAGTATTGGTTAGCACAATAGGAGCCAGCGTGAGCATTTGCAAGTTGAGGCACTAAGTCATTCTGTTATATTCCAAATCAGTGCTATTGCACGAATCTGAAGTAAACAAAATCCTTACCTGCAATCCCATGGCAACATAGCTGAGAGGAAAGTCTTTACATTGGTATGCTAAGCAATTGATTTATCCCTCTCTAAGACAGCTCCAATAGTTCTTTGCTCTGGAAAATTTTCTTGGGGTTCAGAGTTGATCGTTTAAAATACAAAAAGGTAAGATGTGAATGACAATAAGTTAATCGTAATCATATTAGGAGAGCTGAAAGTAAGGAGAGACTAAGTTAGGGCCCTGATACCTTCCAAAAGAATCCCAGCAACTTATATTTTGTTTTTTAATGTCTGTATGGAGAAATCCTGGTGAAAGAAAATGTTCCGCTGTGCAAACATGATTTGTTATATAAAGAACCTCTAATAAAAATAGTAACATTCCTTTGCAAAGACTGAATTTGGAAACTGCAGAACATGATAAACAGTCAGTCAAAAAAGGAGGCTGTGACCTTTCCTCCCGCAACACAAATTTCTTTACTTAATCACTCATTAATTTTTTTCCTTGGTGTAATGGGCTGCTTCTCAAGCCAGTTATATTATATTATAAGCTGTTAATACATATTACATAGTATTAAATGCAATCTGATTTACTGTTGACCACAATTTTGCAACATATTATTTGCTATGCTATAAATGTGTCATATTTCTACAGTGTGCAAATTAAGCCTGAAAGTGCCCAAGCATTGAAAAGGCCAAATGCAACCCACGTTGCAGCAGCAGGCATCAACAGTTTAAATACTGTTTCTACTGCTGCTATTTAAATGTACCTATATGACACTAACATTAAATTCCTCTCCTTGGCCTGTTATAATTTCTGCAGAGAGGGGATGGAAAGGACGATAAACAAAAAGGGGGAGGAAATGTGGATACTTGTTACTTACAACAAGTTGATTGTCATTTATGAAGTTTTAAAATATTTATCTTCAATTGATGAAGAGTTAGTCATGCCCATGCTGCAAGACCTGGATCAGGAGCCAAGACTTCCCTAGAACTTTGAGAATCTTCATATCTGGGGGTTCGGTGCAACTATGGATGGAAGTGAGGATCAGCCACCGGGTTTGCACCTGGATCCAGACAAGTTGTCCCCAAACCTGGGGATAGTTGCATCTGGCAGTTTGCTACAAGGCTAGTTGATTTTTATATATATAATGATCTGTATGCATTTTTAGATAAAAATTATGAAAGCTTGTGCTTGTAGATAATATATAAGAAAAAAATAAAAATAAAAACTAAACCACAGTGTTCTCTCTACGGAATTCTTATACATTGATCTTCCTTTAGTTGTCTTGGAAGTGTTATCTTCTGGCTTTTAAGGGGCTAAGGAGCCAGTTCCAGAAGTACTGATTCAGTTTTTATTTAATCTTTATCTAAGGAAAACAAACAGTGAATTTTGCCTGAATAAGCACTTCAGCATTTGGATCATTTTATTTTAACTTATTTGGCTGCTAGGCTTGGAATTGGGAGGTCAGACAGCATCTACAGCAAACCACAGAACCGAATGTCCTTGGTAACTCTTTCAAGACTGATCAAAAAACCTACAGCATCAGGGTTATTAAATAACCTGAGTGAAACCCACCAGCCAGTGTCTGACCAACTCAATAGCATGGATCTGGATCCAAAGCTTCTCAGATAAAATCCTGGGCTAAGCAGTCTTGGAGATTTATGCCAGCGATTCGGACAGAGACAACTTTTCACTTGCTTCCAACTAGGCTCATTTTCCAAGGACAAAGCGCTGTTGTTCTCAAGAAAAGGTATATGTACCTTACATGAGGTACATTATATCAACGGTAAACAATCATATGTAGTGTGGGAGCCAGAGGGGAACCAGCTGTAACCTACGCTTTTTTTCCTCCAAACCTGGGCCAACCAAGTAGCCCTAAGCATGATCATAAACAGCTGAAGGGGTCTAAGAATGCCCCCCCTAGCAGAGAACTGCGCGAAATCTGGGGCAGGATCTATGAAACCTCACAGTGCAGGTAAGGTAACTAGTAAACTAGGCAAAGCATCCTTCCAGTCACTGTCTGCCTCCATAGCACTCCCTTGCATTATGTCAAGCTGCGCTATAACTTGCTCCAGTCAAAATAATATTTCCTGCAAAATAGGTAGCTGCAGTCATAAATGCTATGTTTGAATAGCATTTGGGATTCCTTTTATCTTTTGCTGTAATGGCTCAAATCTATTTGCATATCGTGAGAAGAAAAGACAAAAGATACAAGCCTTAATTAAAAAAGGCTCCTTGGCATTTTGATGTATCTGCCTTTATGTTCTTTGTAAAATTAAACATATAATGAAAACAGTGTCATCTTAGAAACTCTGATGTTATGCATTTTATTTCCATTATGGATGCCAGGCTCTAATTACTGCAGGGTTATGAAAATACAGAGCAGTGGCTTGTCGTCTTATGCTTTGCCAGGTTACCAGGAGGTGCTAACGATGGCTTGTGTGAGGCCACTTCAATCTGGTTTCTGTACACACAGTTCCACATCAGGAAAGCTATTACTGCAGCTCACAGCAGAAAGAGACAGGCTAAATTCCCAGGGGAAAGACTCGACTGACTCCAGCAGGGTTATCCTTGGGATGGGTCAAACCTCTGATTGACAGCCTTGGTAGCCAACTTGCAGGGAAAACACTCCAATAGCCAACTGCTCTCATTTACTTGAAGGTTCTTACCTGTAGTTTTAGTTTGGACTAGACTGGGAGGAAACTGGGAGTTAACTTTATACTACTGAATCATCCAACAAATCGGAGATTTTGATGGGAGTTTGGTCTTCTGCCTTTTTGGATTGGTCTCTTTCACTGCCACTTGATTCCTCATAGCAGTATTTGGGTTTTTTTCCCACCACTATTGTGTTAAAATAAGTTTTTGTTATGTTTTTTAGTTTTTAAGGTTTTTTTAGTTTTGTGTTGGTTTTTTTTTTTAATGGCAGGTGTCAATATACTCTGATATCGAGAGGTGTTTTATGGGCAAAAAGGCTGCATCACTTCTTGGAGGGCCCTCTCACAGGACTGGAGTATTTACAA